TTATTTCTATGTATTATATTGTGTTGAGTGCCAGTGAAATGTTAGAAATTTTGGCTATTAATTTAGAAAATACATATAATTTCATTACTTACCAGGCTAGCTTTCTTATATGATATCACTCAATTTAATATAAATTGTAATTTAAAGATTATTTGTTTTTTTTAATAAAGTATTCGGGATTTAAAATGAAATTCTATTTTACTTTTGAGGATTTGACTGACAACTAGATTACCTCTGTTAATTTTGCATAAATAATACATAAAAAATTTAGTAAAACATGAGTTATCTCAGTAGTCGGTTCATAAATTAATTTTTACTTGTAATTGAATTTGAAAAAGAATTAAATAATATCGTTGTAATCTGGGTTCAAATTTTATATTGATATAATAAATTATAAATAAAATAATAGAAATTTATAGTCCCTATTTACCCTGCGCTAACTTATATCTACTCTACAAACATTTACTTATTATCTTCTACTATTACTTATTATCACTCACTTATTATCTATCTACTATCCGTTCTTTCTTTCACTGTCCATGACTTCTTAAGTAGATACTTCCTTCTGCAACGTCTCTTCTGTTCTCTTCATTCTATTTGTCCACTCACTCTCTCCTTGTGGTTCTCGGTCTCTTGTCCCGCTATGCTGGCTGGGATTTCTAGACTCGCCTGGTATCTCTCACCCCTTGTCTCCTTTATTCTTAGCTAAGATAATTCTTATCCTTTTTACTAATATGACCTTTTATTATAGTTATGCTTTAGTTATCTGCCAATTCTCCTTTCTCTTTCTTCTAACACAATTTTTTTTTCTCAAGAAAATTTTCTTTCTGGTTCTCAGTAACAGCTTTTCAGTTTTCCATTCGTCTTCTATAATTTATTTTGCTTTTACTTATACAATCTTTTTTTATTCTTCTTGACAAATCCTCTCTTTTCTCCTGTCTTATTTTTTTTATTATTTTTTTCGTCTCCTTGAGTCCAATCATTACTTTTAATTTTACATTTCCAATTTAACTTTTACAATATTATTTAATTCCTATTTTGTTATATAGTACCCTTATTTTATAACCACTTATATTTGATATTTCATTAAAATTCATATTTTACTTTTAAATTGTCATTTTGTATCTAATTGTCATCAAATTTCAAATCTGTAACTTACACTGTCATTCTTTGACATTAATCTCTTTTCATCCCAATACTGAAATTTAAACTTTTGAACTTTTGATTCATCTCAATATATTAGTGATTGATTATACTAATGATCAAAACTTAAAAGTACTTAAACTAAAAAAAAGTCTACATTGACCTGCACTGATTATATGACGCACAAAGTATATTAACCCTCAAAGAATTTACACCACCGTTTTCTTTTTTTTAACATTTGGCATTTCTCAGGTAGCAGCGCTGCCGAGAGTTCTCCCACCACGATAATTCCTTCAATAGCCCAAACAGTCAAGCCCTACCATAGCTGGCCTCAGTCTGTTATTGTCGGCCAAACTAGAGAGTCTGAAAAGTCCGATGGGTGCGAATAGAGTGTGACTGAATTTATATCTTAATCTAGAAATAAAGTGAATTGAAAATGAAGTGAATTGTTAATAATTTTTCAAACCTTTTTTTAATTAATAGTTTAATTGCAACATGCATGTATTTGTCATTATTTATGGATAATATTGTTTAAATTAATTTTTTTATACAAAAGAGTGCAAAATAAACATCAATTTACAGAAAAGAAGCTAAAAATCGCAATTTCAAAAATATGCTTATATTCGAGATGCCGGGAAAAATCGATAATATCGTTTTATCAATATGGGGTATTTTTTTTCTTAAAAATTTAACCATTGAATTTCAAAATCCTTCTTTTTACTTTTTCGCTAGCCATTATATATAT